TATTTTTTAAGTCTAACCAATTATAAATAGCAGTGATCATATGAGTAATACCTGAATAAGACAGAAACACTGTCAGGGTCGTGTTTGGAAGGACATTGTGATTTTTTGTAAAACGATTGTTACAGCCCACTAGCATGCATGTCTCTTTGGGTCTATAGTCAGGCCATAATATAAAAGCAGAAAGGGTTCCTAGCTATGACTGGCTCAGTGTGGAACATGTTAATGCGTGTAGATTAATAAACAGACCTCAGCATCTTCTTTATCCTCCTTTTTCTGCCACAGTCAGCCAGTTCTTTTATACTAGAGGCAACAAACAGTTCATCCATCCTAACAAAATGGTTACAAATAATGAAGTAGAGCATAAACAAACAAATATATAAAGAAATAAACCAATAATCAGGAATAAAAAGCAACAGCAGCCAAGTCTAGCAACTGAGACTGTAACAATGATACTAAATCTTTCATACTGGAATCTTATTTTTAGGTGAGACTGTTTCATATTAAAGCTAACTGTAAGCAGGCCTGTTTGCATCATGAGTTTTATGACATAAAAGTACATGAAGGTAGAACAGATGGTTAAACAACTGAAAATTTAACATGATGCTGCCAATATTATATGAATTATATTGAAATAATGAGTTTTTTTCCTCTCACTGTCCACAGTGTCCTGATGGAGAGAGCAGGCTCACCTGTACCCAGCTGTGTTTCCATGAAGAGTGACAGGTCAGTGGACCGACCAATCACCTTCAGAGAGGGACCTTTTCCTACGGATCAAAGGTAAATGTACATTTATTAAAAATGCCTCTGCATCTTCTTTAGTCTCCTTTTTCTGCTACAACCAGACAGTTCTTTCCTAATAGAGGCAAGCAACAGATCATGTCTCCAATCAAAAATGTTCACTAATAGTGAAGACGTAGAGTGCAAACAAACAAATTAATATATAAACAAATTAATCAATAAACAAGAAAAAGCAAGAACAGCCAAGTCTAGTGAAGGATGTTGTAACAATAATACTAAACCTTAATCTTGGAATCATAAGATTGAGTGAGTTTATTTATTTCACATTAAAACTAACTGTAAACAAGCCTTTTTACATAATGAGTTTTATGACATAGAAAAGAACATGAAGGTAGAACAGATGTCTATATAGTTAGGCTATAATATAAAAGCAGAAAGAGTTCCTAGTTAGGGCTGGCTCTGTGTGGAACAGGTTAATACGTGTAGATTAATAAAAAGACCTCAGAATCATCAGTTCTTTTTTACTAGAGATAACCAACAGATCATCCATCCTATCAGATATAGTCACAAATAGTGAAGAAGTAGAGTGCAAACAAACAAATTAATATATAAACAAATACATCAATAAACAGGAAAAGGCAACAACAGGCAAGTTTGTCAATGGAGGTTGCAACACTGGTGCTAAACGTTTCTAATTGGAATCTTAATTTTAGATCAGACAGTTTATTTCACATTAAAACTAACTGTAAACAAGCCTTTTTACATAATGAGTTTTATGACATAGAAAAGAACATGAAGGTAGAACAGATGTCTATATAGTTAGGCTATAATATAAAAGCAGAAAGGGTTCCTAGCTATGGCTGGCTCAGTGTGGAACATGTTAATGCGTGTAGATTAATAAAAATACCTCAGAATCATCAGTTCTTTTTTACTAGAGATAACCAACAGATCATCCATCCTATCAGATATAGTCACAAATAGTGAAGAAGTAGAGTGCAAACAAACAAATTAATATATAAACAAATACATCAATAAACAGGAAAAGGCAACAACAGGCAAGTTTGTCAATGGAGGTTGCAACACTGGTGCTAAACGTTTCTAATTGGAATCTTAATTTTAGATCAGACAGTTTATTTCACATTAAAACTAACTGTAAACAAGCATGTTTGCATCAAGAGCTTCATGGCATATCAAAGTACAGGAAGGCAGAGCAGGAGGCTAAACAACTGAAGATTTAATGTGACCCTGTCTACATTGTATGGATT